TTTGGCCTGATTCTCCTCCCTTACGGTTTGTCTGTATGAGGGAAGGAACCTTACCTTATGACAAAATCAGCCAGCCTCAGCTTCAAGGGGAGGGATCAGAGAAGAAAATACAAAATTTGCTGTCTTCGGCTGCTGGGAAAGCTGGGCCAGGTTATCACTCAGGAGAGTATCTGGTCCTGGTAGTTACTCCAATGACTTTGATGTTTTCACTGGTGCTGGAGCTGCAGCTCCCATGGTGAGCATCACCTGCCCATGGAAAACATTGCAGGTCTCTGCAGCATTGCTCTGACTGGGCTCAGGAGCTGCTAAACCTGCAGAACTGCAGCTTTCTACCACCCGTACAGATTGGCTGACCACCAGGACAACAGAGAAATGGAAGCTTGGTTCCTGGTGGGTCTGTTCTCTTCCTTCTAATGCTGTGAAGTCGTGATAGTAAGGTTTAAAGAGCAGTTATCTCCTTCATGTTGCACAGAGAAATAGGAGATAATATGGAATCGCTGAACATAGGCTTAGTTCGTGTAGTGGGTGCCTATGACCTTCCAGTGCTGTGCAATGATTACAGCTCCTGGTGAATCCAGATCATCAGACTAAGACCACATGGCCTATAATTGTCACTGCTTCTCTGCCCTGGCAAAATAAAAGGAGAGAGAAATAAAACAGTGAAAGACATTACAGAGAGCATAAAATATTTCCTTTTATGTGTTCTAGTTGCTTACAGTGAGATTGACCATATTGAAAATAAAAGTCTGCAGGAACTTTCTTATCACCTTTTTTTAGAAGTTTAAATCTCAGGAATTAATTTACTTCATGCTCTTCCTAGTGTAATAATTATCTACACTAAAGGAAAAATCTACCTGTGGCTCCAGAAAATATTAGAGTCACATATTTTATAGTATTCTGTATGTACCCTGCAAAGACAGTAAAATAAAGAGCAGTCATTGCCCAGGATATGCTCTGTTATTGGTGATTTGCAATATTTTCAGAATTGGTTTATATTTGGTTACCAAGGTCATAATGTAAGCACCTCAGAAAGCAGCTTGGCTTTGAGAGATGCTTTAGCTTCCATGACTTTCCAAGTGCACAGGCATTCCATCTGAAGTGCTGTTTCCTTAAGTTTGAAAACAAACCTTTCCTGTAAGTACCTGAATACAGATTTACATTAATTTGAAAATTCTGACCTCTGCTTTCTATATATCTAAGTCTTTAGTTATGACTAGACTTAGTTAAAGTCCAGTTTTCAACTACTTTGTAAAACATAAACTTTCCATCTTTATTGAATTTCAATTCAGTATAATTTATTTTTCATCTCATATTTAAGGCTGCTAATTATTTATTTGCATGTGTGCTTTATCTTACTTCATGTCCATAAAACAGTCTCGATGATGGCACTCACAGGTCAGCTGTGCCATTCATAACTGCACCATGGCTGTGAGAAGAGGGATGCACGAGGAGAAAGCAAGCTGCACTCAATGGCAAGAAACAGATACATATATAGATACAGATTTTTTAAATGTTTATTTGAAGATCACTCTGATAGTTCGTTTTGTACATACTTTGGGGATTTTTATAATATGTTATTAGGTATTAAATAAACTAAAAAAAAAAAAAAGCTGTTGCTAACTATGAGCAGCAGTCCTTTGCATGGACCAGTAAGCTGATACCTACAGCAACTTATGTCAGGAGCACATATGGTCTCCTAGTGCACCAGATTTTTTTCACTCACAAACACTTGCAAGGGGGCATGTTGGTAAGACCTCCTTTCCCTGTGCCCTCCTCTTCCTCTCACAAATCTGGTAGTTTTGTTTGTCACTTCTCATTGTAAGTCTGTCTCAAGGTACAAGAACAACTCTAATAGTCTGTTACATAAAGCAGAAAAGTTCACTGAAACAACAACAAAAAATTATTTTATTGCTCAGCATTCGTTACCTATAAGGACAAAAGGCCCCTGCATAGCAATTTAAATTAAAGATATCTTTTGAGTTAAACCCCCAAATTCAAATGTGAATACAGATTCAGTTGTTCTTTTAAACAGTAAGTATGGAGGGTTTTTTTATTGAAACTGTATTTAGACTCCAAGAAAGTTACAACTAAATCATAATTTTTGAATAAAAACATTTGTAATGCAAAAGTTGACCAACCATCAATGATAAACTTCTTTCCTAACATCTTCATCACATTCCTTCAGTATTACTTATAGGTGTCCAGGAATATAAACCACTCTTTTGCACACCTATATTACAGCCATTGGTCTTTTTTTTTTTTTTCTAGAGTTGTTTCCATATGTTGTGCTGTAGCACTTTAGGATGTCTCTGTCTGAGCTGTATCTAAGTCTTTATAGATTATGTTTCATCTAAATGGGAACCAGAATTAATAATGCGAATGGGATGCAAAACTGGATGCGCACAGAAACAACTGACATTGCAGTCATGGTGTGGTGCTGGACTGGGAAAAAGCAGCTGCTATGAGTTCTGTTTCTTTTTGCTTACACAAAAGTGATACAAACTAAAATTCCACAGAAGCTGGCATTTTGATTCCTCTTGCAATGCAGGTGCACAAATTGGCACTTTATTCTAAGCCACATCTAAAGAAAAATCTTGGCTCATAATGGATATGCCAAAATTTGACAATAGACCTAAAATATGCATAATGACTAACTCCCACCTAGGCATATGTAAAAGGCCATCACATTTCGCACCAGCCTTGATTTTGCCAGGATAGGCACGACAGAACAAATGAGGTGGCTCTGTTCCCCTGTAAAGACAATTCTGCACGTAGGCTCAGGAGCTGAAGGTGCTCACTCTTGTGCACAGGGGAGGCTTGTGTGTATGTGTGCATGTGTGTGCCTGGTATGGACAACATGTGGGGTAGAGCTGAGTGAAGTGTGACAATGATGGTGAATGAAGAATGGATGACCTTCCTCCTTACCATTCCTGTTCTATGTGCTACTGTGTGACTTCCCATCTTGAAAGGCTCTGCTTCCTTTCACAGATGGATGGAAAGCACAAGGTTAACAATACCAAGTGCCTAAAAGATTGATTAGGCAGAAATACTTCAGTGACTACATACTTCAAGTGAAGGAAAAAGAGGCGAGTTTGACAAAATTCCCTCATGGGGGAGATGAGCTGGAGATTTTTGGCTAAACTGCAGGCAGACAAAGCAGCAGGGCTTGCCTGTGTTCACCGAGAGGCAGCGTAAGAGGAGCTATTGTTGACTTGTTGCAGCTTGCAAGGACTACACAGAATTACAATTGTCTGTAATTGGATTTGCCAGGGGGGCTGCAAGAACAGGCGTAGGCCTGGTAGCTGTGGACATGAAGGAAAGTATCAGGCTACAGCACCAGCTATTTACTAAATTTCCTCTGTTGTCCAGCCATGATGAGTAAACACAGAGGTCACAACCAAGGATGATTCACTTCAGTTTTGTGAAGAATTGCTGAAAATTTTACAAATTACCTGTTCTTAGTATCCACTACCTGCAGATGACATCTTCATTTACAGATGGTCTACTGCTGCATTGCAGTTCCTGGAGCTCCTAACTAATTCTTCTTACAAGGAAGTCTGTCACAGAGAAAGGACCAGAGGGAAGACTTATGTAATCTGGCTGTCATTTGCATAATATGAAAAGCATCTGAATTAATAAAGTAGTATATTTAAAACTTTATGAAAACACTTATTCAGTTTGAAAAAATCCCAGTTATAATAAATTAATCCATTTCCTTCCAACAAATGATGTTTGAAAGAAGTTTTATCATTGTTGGAGAAAATTTCTTTTGAAGACATCTGCAACTCATACTTTGTGGCCACTTTAAGTGTACATTTCTCATTCACTACTTGCAGCCATGTTTTATGTTGGGTAATACTTTTTTTTTCTTTTTTAAAAAGCCGTTTCTCTTAATTTGAAGAATGTGTACATTGCTTTGTTCTTAACGATGGAACATTTCTCAGACCATTCCAGAGCACTTAATTTCCTGTCAAGTTTACCTGGTGGATTTGGTTTCTTCAAATATTTACTTGGTCAAAAGAATGGCACAGTGAGCTCTCATCTACTCTAGTTGCCAAATTAGCTTGTGAAGCCATGTGCTGTGCACATCTTACCAGATGACTGGGACAGTTTTTTGCCTTTAAGTCTGCTGAATATAATTATCACTGGACTTTTTTCCATAGACAGCTAATATAAAGCAGAAGGGATTTCATACCCCTTCCAAGACAGAAAATGTTTTTCAGTGTTTGTTGACAGCATCTGTTTGCATTACCTGCTTAGCAGTGGCATTAAAGTTTATTTGACAATGAAGAGAATGTTTATCTCCAACCCTAATATTTCTGTTCTGATTTGGAATACTATGCCACCGCCATTCTATGTGAAAGACTTATTCCAAATAATCTGCAGTATTGTCTGATATTGTCAAAATATGTTAATTTATGACTTGGTTTAATGCTTTGAGGGGTCACAAGGGTTCGCATACTATCACAGCTTCACAATGGTGCTGCTAATGACGGATGGTTGTGAGAAGCGCTAGTCTGATGAATCTACATGAGCTGACTCTGAGCTGAGTCTCAGAGCCTGCAGTTGCAAATAATGGAGCAGGGGGTTGTAAACGGTTTGAATCATCAGCTGGATCTGGAAAACTTTCTGATACCCAGGACAGATCTGTAACATGGGAATCTCTTTATAATGGTTGGCCCTGCCTGTGTCTGTAGATGCTTGGGTGTCTTCTCAGTTCATAGCTGTTCAGGATCTTTGATTTCTTCCACTCCCTCTAGACATTATGCAAAAACGTAGTCAAATGTAGTCAAAAAAGTCAATTGGCAACTTTCAGCATGCCAGTAATGCATATATTGATATTAGTGACATTTCAAAAAACGACCAGTTCATGGGTTCTTTGCTAATAAATGGGGATTGCAACCAACCGAATGAAAAAACTCTTTTTACTTGAGCCAGCATATTCCTTTGACTGGACAAAGTAACCATGGAAGTTTATGGCATTTCTGTTTATATTGCAGGTGCAGGGGCTAACTCTGGCATTTCAGCCATTTTTCCAAGTACCTCTGGCACAAGCACTTTCTCACCTTACCAGCATGCTCACAAAGGTAGGAATGCACTCACAAAGTTAATTCAGGATCTGTTTGTTTTGAAAAGGGCATCAACGAAGTGCAACCAAACTGAAAATATCTATTGTGGTTTTCATTGCCACTATTTCTGGACTTCTAAAACTGTTAGAAATAATTCAGAATTCACTTTTATTTCTTGGTTAATCAAAACTGCTGCTTTAGTTAGCTGAACATTAAATGGATTTGAACTGTACTCAGTAATGCCAGCAGTGAATTTAGCTCATTATTTGTAGCTGTACAGAAATGGCACTCTGCCTCATCAAAAGCTTAGCTTAGAAAGGTGACAAGAATTCAATGCACAAATATGGTCAGTCTCTTATTGAGATAACATAAACAGTTCTCCAGCATGATTGTTAGGTTTTTAAAATATGTGAACCTGAAAAGACACAACAAGAAAGATGCAGTTAATGAGGCACTGACAATGCTGATCTTATTGGTATTGTCTGAAAACCTGCTTGTGAGGATCATGTTTTCAGAAAATTGAAGTTTTCATGCATTTTAGCATATCTGTAATTTTCTGCATCCTTTTGTGGCTTTTCGATTCTAGTCTTTCACATCCAAGTGCCATTTATGAATACCTTTTCACATAGCTTATTTTAAATTCACCTTCTAGCTGTGCTGTGTTTAAAGTATCTGTTAAAAAAAATCAATTCCTGTACATGTGCATTGTGTTCGCCTTTTAACTGCAGAGCTTTTGAGGCAGCCACATTATCAACAGTTGTTTTAGCTCTTATTCCCTTTGCATATTTACCTTATTTTTTTGTCTTTTCAATCCTGATTCCCAGAATACAGTGTTAGAAAAACTGCTACTCTTGCTTACATATAGCTTTTATGTTATTAGCAGATAATACAATTTCATACACGTTGTATCTGATGGATCATGCCATCAAATATTTTAATGAGTATTGCTAGCTGGCTAGTGCATAAATATAAAAGTATTGAAAAACTGTTAATTAATTTGCTTTTGATATGCAACACTAAGTTTTTCAATTCTTGGTAAGTAACCAAGACTCAGATTAACTAAACGAGTATGCAAAATATGTGTGAGAGCAGACTGCAAACTATTAACTACTCTCTGATCCTAAGAGTTGCTCCTTTAAGAAAGTATTCTTTTAATTTATTCCAGCAGATCTTTCAGGACAAGGACATCTGGCTACAGCTCTTATAATTGCCATGTCTACCATCTTCATAATGGCTATTGCCATTGTCCTCATCATCATGTTTTACATTGTGAAAACAAAACCTTCTGCTCAAGGTAATTGTTCAGCAGGTGAAATTTCAGCTGCAAATGCTGGTTTTGGATGGCTTCTGAGAATAATTACTGTTTTATTTTTATATTCTAGCCTGTTGCAAGAGCCACTCAGTAAAAAATGTTGAAGCTCAGGCTAACACACAAGAAGAGAAGAAAGAAGTGCAAGGTATACATTTTTAGTTTTGCTTTTTCTATCTAAGACAACATTGGGCTTAAATACTCTTAATACATTTCTCTTAGTTACAATTTCTCCTTTGAATTGTATAAAACCCACGTCAGTTTATTAAAGAACTGTCTATAATAGTTTTTTCGTACTACCAGAATGTCAATTAATCCTTTGATAGCACTTAAAAAGTAGCAGAGAGATTAACGTTTGAAGTAAGGTTGCCAGGAGAACCAGCTCCTGACACAAAGCACTGGTTTGGAAACTCCTTGCCTATTTAAATTTCTCTAATTATTTATCTACAGATAATGTTGTGATATTTTCTGAGAAAGAAGAGTTTGAAAAACTTACAGCAACTCCAGCTAAGGCTGTCAAAAGGTGGGTAAAAGATAAACATACTGCCAGTTTAATTGAAGTACGGGAGGGACATGGTCACCATTCATCCTGGTACAGTGGAACACATAAAGAACAAACTTGATGGGTAGGTTGCTGCAGCAGGGAAAAGACTAGGTGCCTTAGCAGGCTTTTCCTTCTCCAGTTTTTCGGACAATGGCAAACGTCACCAAAGAGAAACCTGCACCCTCCCCACTCCCTCTGTGACCAACTCATTAGCTCTTGGGTCTCCATCTCACCTTTTGAGAGGTTCATTTCTGGGATCTGAGTGCAGCTCTCACTCACATGGCCTTAGTAAGGTTCCCCTTCCCTTCTAGGCAGGAAAAGTAAAAACAGCTGTAACAGGCCTTTTCTGTGGCATCATCTGGATGGCACAGTATGGTAGTTTTCCTCACCTTGTCTCTGCCTGGCAGCCAAACCTGCCCGGGTAACACGATTATGGTGGGCTAAACACTGTCCTCAGTTGGAAAATCCCTCTATAAAAGGATTATTGTAAGCTATGTGTGACTGTGTTACTTGGTGGGCACTGTACTCATCCTGAGTTGGTGAATGCCATTACTTTAACAGGATTTCAGAGGAAAGGCATTTTAAAAAATGGAAGACACTTTTATTCAATTAACTCTCAGATAGCAAAAAGGAGATGGCCAGAGTCAATCCATGATAGGCTTCACTAAGATAACCATATCCTTCATTTTACAGTGAAAACGATGCATCTTCTGAGAATGAACGACTTTTAAGCCGTAGTATGGATAGTGATGAAGAAGCTGCAGTTGACAAGCAAGGGACCCCAGAGAGATGCTTATTATCTTTAGTGCATTTGGCCAGAGATAAATCTTCTACAAGCAATAAATCAACTGGGGTAAGGCTATTTTGAGATTTAAAAATTGAGAGCATTTTTCTATATTTTTTTGAAGGGAAAAAATATACAAACTATCACCCTCCCCAAATGCATTGTAGTGTAGATCAGACTGATTTACAAGAGCTTCTTCAGACAAATTGTTTATAGAATCATCTTTGCATAGTGACATATATGTACATATATATTGTTCAGGGATGAAACCCAAATTTCCAACCAGAGTAATAACTTCACTTCTCTGTGTATTAAATGTTATAGTCTAAAGAAAGAAACAACAAACCCAGCAACCTCCTGTTATGGCGAATGCTAATAATACTATCCCAAATGCTACATTTACTGTGAAAGATCCCAGACAATAAAATAATGTAGCAACATGGCTGGATTCAGCTGACAGTGTAGCATCTGAGTACCTTGACCCAGCTGCATTGGTATTTCCATAGCACAGACTTCTCAATAATATCCGGTATTGTGCTTGGTTTTCATGCGTAATTTTGAAAAACACACAAATGTTTTGAAGGTCATTGCTCTGAAGGACACTGTAAACCACTGTGTGTTTTGCTGTGGAAGGTCTTTGCTTCTTCCTGCTTAGTGTGTACTGCTCAGGGCTTTTTATCTCACTTGGAGGCATAGTTAAGGCCACACCTCACTCACACAACTTTTCTGTTTGTGTTAACATGAAACTGTCCTTAAAAAGAAAGTGTGTGCTCAGATATCTTTTCAGTACTTCAAAAACTGGCAATACCTACTACAAAATCACATAATTAATATCAAACATCCAATATAATTTAGGAATAAAGAAGTTTGAAAATGCTTCTTTTCATGTTTGCATGTTTTAAATTGTTGGGATGGTTCAGCTCAAAATTTCTAAACCAGCTTGCTTTTCAGCTTAGTCCAGACACAAAGTCTCAATACAAGCAAAATGGTTTTGTAGTTGTCAACTTTTATGACCATCTGAAAATAACTTCCTACTCCAATGCTCACATTTTAAAATTCAGGTTTATGAGGTCTCTAAAAATATCCAACTTCATGATACTGCCATAAGCACTGGCTTGAAATAGGACAACACACCTTGGGTAGGCATGAAATCGGAACATTTAATAAGAAGCATCTTACCTTCTAAAGACTATATATATTAGACACATTCTCCAGAGTCATTTAGGTAGATATCTCATAAGCACACCTGAAGCATGAACTACTTCTTCCAAACCTTCTGGAAGAAACATACTTCTCACAGACTGAAGACTGCTGAAAAGGCTGAAGACAGACTTTTCAATGAAAGTGCAGATTGTGTCAAGATCCTCCATACCTAAGAAGTCACAATTAATTAGAAAAGCAGTAATTTGCTTGAGGCTGGAGATTAGGTAACATGACTAGCACATGAAAGAGTATTCAGTAGCCATTGGACACGGATAAAAAAGTTAGTCCTACTGTTAACCAAGTCTGCTTCTTCCTAGTTAAAACAAAATCGATTTGCAAATAGCTACGACACAGAGGATCATCAGGCTAAATGTCACCTGTTTACTATCAGCATAAGGTTTACAAATCCTTTATCTTCTGGCTCTGGTAAAAAGAGCATCCTGCACAATTCTTCATGGGCATGGAATTACTTAACCTCCCTCTTTACCCTAAAAATGAGGGGAGAATGAAAAAAAGGATCCAATAGTTTTCCTAGGAGGAGTTTTAATTAATCCTATTAAAAGAAAATTTCCTGTTTACAAGGTTCTAAAACAGCTAATCCAAGCCTACAGTAGCAACATGACCTATTAAGCACATGTAAATTAAACTAAGAATATGTGAACAACAGTCAGTGTCTGGATTGCATTGCCCTGCAATACATGACAGGCTTCGGGTGGAGCAGCCATTTTGTGGTCTCCATCTGCAAGTCTATTAATCCAAGTCATTGATGTGCCTTGCCCTTTAGAGCCCAAATAAAATGAGGAAAATCTTTCCACAAAACTAAATACTGAAAGCAGAGCTTTTTTTTTTCTAGCCTGGTTTGCAGTGAAAAGTGACAAATTTGTGGAGATAATGCTAGAGTCCTGTCAAAAAGACAGCTTTTCAGAAATCTCAGTCCTAATGAGAGCTGGCACAGGGAAGAAAATTCCAGTACCTGCGAACTCATGACATTTTGACATTTGTTTTCACTCACATTGAATCCAAAGCCAAACCTTGACTTTTGCTAAATGAAACTATATAAAAATGTCCATTTTTGACTTAAAAATGTCAGGTTTTCATTCTGAGATTCTTTCTTGTCAAAAATTACCAGAGCACCCTGGACCTCAGATTTTTCCTTTTCAAAGATTCACTGATTTATTTTTTTTTAATCTATCTGTAAAATGTTTCAGATTTATGAAGACAAGGTATAATCAAAGAAAATAGTTAATTAGTAATTAACTAAGTAGTTTTACATCAAATGACAGAAAGGAAGATCTCCTCCTCTAGAGTCCTCTTAGATCAGTGGAAGAAGGCAATTTCAGTCTGAATTTAGTTCTCTGCAGCCAGTCCTGACCTGGTTTACCTGGGCATCCCTACATTAATTGTCTGCATGCATGATACTGGATTTGTCCTTATTCTCAGGAGTTTGCTTTGGTTTGAAAGCAAAATAAAATTGACAAACACTTGAAGCAGAAAGGCAGTTGCTCTCAAAAAAGACTAGAAGTTGGAAAGATCTCTAGCAGTAGCAAGTGAAATCAGAAGTACATTTATGCTTCATGGAATAATGGTTGTGTCATTTTCTTTGAGTCTTCAAAAGGGACCCTTGAGGATAACCCCTAGCACCACAAAATGAACGTGTCCCACAGATTTTCCACTTCTGTCTGCTAGTTGTTTACTCTTATGACTGAAAAATTAATGAAATCAAACTTTTCTCATTTAGATTCAAAGTCGAAGGAAAAAGATACTCGATGTGTATGCTAACGTATGCGACGTTGCAGAAGGTGAGTGCACAAAACTTGCACCTATATTAACAGCATGAAATTAGATCACAAGTGTTTGCTATAAGAAGGGCCTCTGCTTTTCTACGGAAACGGTCCCAATCCAGAAAAGACACTCTGTAGCCAGATTTGTACTTGCCAGGGTGCCCTGACCCCAGAACTATCTAGGCCCTGGTCTTGCGCTGGAGGATGTCACAACTTGTCTCCAGTCATGTGCACAGGGTTCCTTCCTATGGAGAGCAGGAAGAGTTGTGTTCGGCTGTGTTGGGACACACAGACAGACCAAGTTGTGAAGAAGCCCTTTTGCATTCCCCATCTAGAGGAAACACGTTTGATTTATTTATTTAGTTCTTTGGATAACAGATAGAAAATAGTTCCAAATATGGAAGTGTGATCTGGGGAGGGTCAGGACTGAGGGTAAGACACTGCTTCTTTAAATGGTGTCCCACCTCTCACAACAAAAAGTGGAGTTTCCAAGTTTTAAGTGTTTTAACCATGTTTAGCACTTGACTGTCTAAACTGTTCTAGCTGAAGCAACATGAATTAAATTCTCTGCAGAACAGGAGACATGACTGCATTTACTTCCCACCACACACGCAGTTCACTTGCACATGTATGAGTATTCTGTGGTTCAGTGAGCTCTGTCTCCCACCAAATTACTGCTGTTGAGTAAGAAGCAGGAAAACTGCAGAAGCGAAAAGCTGGTTTGGGAAAAATGCTGTAGTTGATTCTCTCCTCTGTTCTCTGACCATGAATACACAGAATATACGTCCATGAAAAAATAGCTTTTTCCCCACAGGATGAATGTTAAATCCTCTCTGGGGATTCAGTGACAGTAATGACAGTGGAGCACTTGCAGGGACTTTTATGCTTGCATTTGGTATCATTGCTTCACTTCACTTCTGGCTTTCCCACAAGGGCAACTTTCAATTACAGACATGTTTCAGCAGCTGCTGGTGACAGTCCTGGAGAAGGGTCAAAGCTGTCTCTCAAGCTCAAACACTGTGCCTGATGTGCAGAGGTGTATTAATGGGGCTGCTCACTAGGGATACAGTTACAATATACTGTTTCTAACAGCTAGTAAATTGTTGAAGGAAGAGGCAGAGTCATGGGAATTCACACAAGCCATCTAATACTTCTTTCCCAGGCAACTGTTTACCCTAATTATTGTACCCTACTGTCACTAAGAAGAATTAATTTGATAATATACAGTAATACCTTTGGAGCTAGACATACCTGTCATGGCCTATCACTTAAAGATTTTAGTTGTATTCATTGCTAATAGTATAATCTCTAGTACTTAAATGTCAACACTCGTGCCCAGACCCACCTGACAGTACACACCTCCCTTTACAGGTCTGAGCCCTACAGAGCTGCCATTTGATTGCCTGGAGAAGACCAGCCGAATGCTCAGCTCGACCTACAACACAGAAAAAGCCATAGTGAAAACGTGGCGCCACCTTGCCGAGAGCTTTGGACTGAAGAGAGATGAGATAGGCGGTATGACAGACGGCATGCAGCTGTTTGACCGCATCAGCACGGCAGGTTACAGTATCCCAGAACTGCTAACCAAACTGGTACAAATTGAGCGGTTGGATGCTGTTGAATCCTTGTGTGCAGATATTCTGGAGTGGGCACAAGCAATGCCAGCTCCTGAACCAGCAGGGACATCCTGACATGCCTGCCTGGGACCTGCACTTCTACATCACCCCAAAGAAGCACGATTTTGGCAAGCACACAAAGACTATGGACAAAAGACCATTGATGTTTCTTCTACATAATTGCTCCTGATAGCCAATGGGAAGCTCTTCTCTTTGACTTCTAAAAAAAAAGTGAAGTTGCACATTTATAAAAATAAGAGCAGAAATCTCCCAAGAAGCTTGGTATGAAACATGTCAGTAAACAAAATTATTACATTAACCAGATACTGATAACAAGTGGACACACAAACATCCATTTTGCGGTCTGTATTATGAGTATAACGGCAAATAACCCTGCTGATACCCTTCCTGCCTGGCTTTCAAGAAAGGCATTGAATAGCTCTCTGAAAATATTCCTGTCTCTTAGGACTTCATTCAATGGTGTAATGGTTTAATAGTTACAGTCAGAAGCAGTACCACAGCTACAGTGTCAATTATACACATGAGGCACGTACATTTCTATCTGCTCCAACCAATTTCATTTTCTACACTTACTATGGGTTTGTTGAATCTAGAAGTACGTCCTCAGATTTACTAACTATACTATATATGAAAAAAGAGTCACCACAACTTACAGATTGAAGTGCTTCAAAACAATGTACATAAAGCACGTTAATGCACTCTTGGTCCATACTGACATTTCAGAAATTATAAATTCAAACTGCTGACTTGCTGAGGACAAGCTGATTAGGCAAGTGGACAGCAAAATTTGTCAGTCACTCCTTGCGAGTTGAGAACAAGTTCTTTTCTTCTTTGCTATTACAAAAATAAAACCAAAACCCCAAACAAACAAGAAAAAAATGCACCTTGTCCACTGCCATGAAAAATGTACTTTTCAGGTAGTGACATCTACATATCAAATTATATTCCAAGAAGAGGAAATTCAGACAACAGTGCACATGTGACAGTATGAGCATAAAGAGCAGATTTCTTTAGAGACACTTGAAGTGCAGAGGAAAAATGTTTTTTAAATGCTATACTCTTGTAAGCCTAGACCATAAGCACAGAATCTACCTGTGAAAACAAATTCATGTGGAAGGTAAAGCATTATTTTGAGTTTGTGTATAACAAAAGTTCAGCTAATTTTTTTCCTTTTAACTAAATCTCTGGTTTTCATGGCTAAAAATTCTCTAAAACTCATCCAGACCACAATATCTGTTACCAAGCCTATTTGCCTAATTTATAGCTAAAATAGTGATGGCAGATTTCACTGAGTGCAATCACTAAATTAAGAAACCCGTCAATTCCAAAGCAATACTTCTTAAGTTCCAAAGTGCATGACTGAACAAAATGCTATTAAAAATATTAACTATTACCCTGAATTTAACAACCAGTGTTCCATCGCTTAGTAACTAGATCTTACCTATTATAGTATTATAATTGTGCACAACATTTAGTATCACCTTGTAACATCTATATTTAGCATCTTTTCAGCACTTGATTTGTATAGCAGAGGAAGTACATACAGCAACATAAAACCTATCCCTGTCATTATTCTTCTTCCCCCCTTTCTTTTGCATCACAAAACACTCTTCATTAATTTGCATATGCCAAGTTTGATGAGAATTTTGACTCTTAACAAAGCAGCAAGCTGCATTTATTTGAACATTTAACTAGTTGACTGATATTGAATTTAGGAGTGAAATTCTTGGTGTCTTGAAATTAATGACAAATTCATACAGACTTCAACAGGCTTCAATAAGATTTCTAGATTTGCTGACAACTCAGCAATCTTCAAGATTTTCAAGACCCTGAATCTGCAGTTTTTACTGTTGCTACTAGCATAAATAAAAAAGGGGAAAGAAAAAAACCCGTGAAGAACCTATTTTTCTTGTGCCAGTGTGTAACTACAGTGTTATTCAGTGGACTGCCTCTTAAGTGTGTCATTTAATACTATACATCATTTAGAAGATACAAGATAAAGAAGATACAAGAATCCTCTTTCCTATGTTTATTGGGCCATGAAAAGATAGGGTTTTGAAATCAATCGTGCCAATGTGAATACAGACTATTTAACATTATTTTATTTAGTATACAGTATTTTTATTGTTACACAAAAGATGTGCAGGAATGAAAAAAACCCTGTAGATCTTGCAAAAGCTTACTTTCTAATAACTTGTTTAATGCTGTATATATAACTTATTTTATTGTAAAGTATGAACATAAAATATGCTAATAAAATAAAGAGGTCAAACAGAATTGTATTAGCCATTTCTTTGCCTTATAAATGTGTAAGTAAATGATTTAGCCAAAGGGCTAGCACGCACATTCCTGTGGTATGGGAGTGTCTTTGTAACATACATGGAGGAATCTTTGCATTCTTGTAGGATACTGCTTCTCTGTATCACAATTAGGAAACTTTTGCAGCAGCAACCATTTTGTCAAGCGAGTTTGGGTTCAGTATTTCACCTCATTAGTACTGTGAAAATACCAAACACCTTGCTATTCCTCAGAGAAACTGTAAGCTTTTTTCTGTTACTGAGAACTGGTACAGACTGTGAGACTGAAGAATAATCTCACAGTAACAATACTCTCTTGTTAACATGTCTTCATTCTCCATTCCTAAATTACCAGTACACACTACGTTACCAGAAATCTTAACTGGAAGCTTTCGCTTCCAGGATAATTGGGTTCATGCAGTCCTAGGCTGCACAGGTGAGACCCCCAGAAGAACTGCTAGCTTCTGGAAAAAACAGAGAGCACCAAGTTGGATTTCCCCCAGACTGAAGGTACTTACTACCTTTTAAGACCTTTCCCACCTAATCTCGGCTCTCTAGCCTGACCAATACTGTCCCAGTTTTTCCATAGAGAAACTTGCTGGATTTCTGGCTGCAGTCAGGAACTGCCCTCTACATAGTGTTTGATATCTGCTGGTCCTGGTCTGATGACATTAATCAAAAGAATAGAGGTAAGGTGGGCTGAAAAGGATAGGTCTCTGCTTTGCAGAATAAAGCAACACCAGCTGACTGCCTCCATATTCTGTAATTTGAGATCATTAATCCATTATTCATGAACAAAAAGATAATGTGTCCAGCAGCATGGTTTGGAGGATGAGCTGAAAAGACATGCCAGTTCCAATTCTCCTTGTCAAACTCAAAGCTCTCATGCATTTAGAAGTCCTGCTTTGTTATAAACAGGGTGTGTTTAACAGAAAAATCCTTCCTGATGTAGGTGAAAATCATGACCCAGAGGTAAAACAATGACTCCTGTATGCAGAAGTCATTCTTCTGCAAGCAACTTCTATATTCCTCTGTGATAATGAAAAGCAAATGGAGACCATGCCCTTATGTATTGGGTAGGCTTCCTGCTGCACACTCCATTAAATATATTAACATAAAGAGGGTAAGAATGCACTGTCTCAGGCTATATCTAGTTTTAGACACATAATATTGCATATGTATTTTATCCCTCCCATCCAAATAAGCTCTTTTGATTATTTATTGTGATATGATTTATAATGCATAGCACCTCTTACCTCAGGCATTAATTTATCACTATCAACCACTCTTCAAGGACAGAAAAATGCTGATTCCTTTTTGCCACTGCTCTGTGAAACTAGACTGTTTGAATACTTATTGAAGAATGGCAAGCATGCACTGCTGCAGAAGACATCAGTGATTAGCTGTTATACAGATCACACACAGGCATTTCAGTTGTCCACCTCCTTTAAAAAAAAAGATTTTTTTTGTTTGTTTTGTTTTTTAATAGTCAAGGATGCTTTAAAAGCAAGCTTGTAATAGGATTCAAGTTAGCATCACAAGACAATTCAGGAATTGTTTTCCAATTTAATCCAACATGTAGAAGTAAACAAAAAATCAGGAGGAGGTAACACTAAGGACTGATTAGTAGAAAGAAAACTGAATCCAGAAGGAAGCAGAGTTCAGTATCTGTTTCTGAAATTCAGCCTCAGTGTGCAAGGCTGCTGTGAAAAAAAATCATTCCTCGCACTTTCTCACACTTCAGTGTGGAGGAGGACAAATCAAGAGGACATAAAACTGCTACACTCTGGGGAGGACCATGAACAGAAAAAGTATGTTTAATTGCATTTCTTATATAAATGTCTCTTGAATCCACACACTATTTCTTCTAATTCCTTCTTCTGAAGGAATTAGATTCCTAATTCACTAATTCCTTCTTCTGAAGCACAAAACCAGTCTGGCAACACTAGTTATCTCCAACCTTCTTCAAAGGCCTTCTACTTTTGCAAAAAGCTGATGTGTAGGTGGGATATTATGCTCCTGTTCACAATGTATCCTGTACCATAGGATACATTTTTTCCCTGAGGCTGGATAGATTATTTTTATTTATTTTCTTCATAATTAACTGCACGAAGTCTGCCATTTTATGGAGCTGAAGATGATCTTAAAGTAAACTTATTATTAGGAATGTTATCCTATGCTGACTTTTCAACTATTGTTAGCAGTATCCCGGCCATTGAGTTTGCAGCCCTAGCTTGTGCCCATCTATCAGAGAAGTAACTTACCATTAAGCTGCAGTGATCACAGACACGTGCTATATTCAGGGAAATATTCCTTGGGTCCAGTCTAAATACCCTTGAGTAATGGGCACAGATAGAATTGTTTTTGGAAAAAAAAAAATATATATGGATTCTCAGATCTCTTTTTCTCAGTTAATTCTCTCAGTCTGACTTCGGAGATCAGAATGTCTTGCACATTATATCTTGTTAAATTTCAACTCAGAACCACTCAAAAAACATAGCTACAAGCAAGTAAACAGTACATGGTTTTGTTCAAAGTTATCTCTTCTAGTAGTGATCAAGTAGTCATACAAGACGCTTACAAACTTGTGTGAAAAACACAAGTCTAACAAACAAGGATGTTCTTAGCTATGATCAGAAGATGGCATTCAAAGCTTTCATCTATTTCTGATGATGGATAGTGATGGTTATGACACAGCAGACTACAAGAGTCAGAGACACAAAGGTGCCTTTGCCCATAACAGCATTCCTCAGAGAGATGTCTAAGGTAGGATCACAACACTGCACAGCACTATTACTTTTACAATAATTTTTGTCAGTTTTAAAAACATGTGAGCATTACATCATTAAGAGGAGCACAAGGGGTCACTGCTTTACCACCACAGTTCCTCTAACCATTTGGCAAGTGGAATACTACCAAATTGTTTCATAGATCAAACTTTCCAACTTTCTAGACTACATTTAAATATGCCAATCCTGAAGATAAATGTTTTCTATCAGGCCATCAATCTCTAAAGCCATATAAGTTCTAGGTGAAAAATTCAGTATATAATTAAAGGATCCAGCGTAACAGCTCTGAATTATGAGCTCGACTTACAGCTCCTTTTAAACCTGGTCTGGTAAGTTAAATCATTCATTTTTGACATTGATGCTGATCATGAATAGAAGTTCTCCAAAAATATGTTGCCTTCACTATACTTTCACATTCCAGGTAAATTTATCTGCTATAAGAAATCTTTCCCTATAATATATTAAGTTCAGCTACATAACATTAGGAAGAGATGCAAGCCAGTCATGTTCAGGAGGACTGGAAGATAACTGTGAAATCACACTTCAAGAGACAGACCTTGTACAGATGGTGAAAGTCATAAATATGAAGAAACAGAGCACAACTGTGCAGGCTGGGTAGTGTTAGCCTATTTTATTTAGCTCTGCCAAGCTTCTGCAAATAAAACTCTCCCCTGTCCAGGGAATAATCTTTCTTACAGATTTGCCACATCTAGGCTTTGTAGATCAGGTCTGAAACACTGTCTTGCTTATTTATCAATAGGAAACCTTTGATAAAGAGCAAGGGTGATTACAATTCTACAATAGATGGGTTTGTAAAAAAAAAAAGCTATTTTTCATCATGTTCGGTAGCCTTTTCTGGTATCAAAACTATCTTAACATGAAGAGATGCAATATTCTTGT